ATTTTTTTATTTATGATTTAAATTTAAATTATTTGAATACTAAATTTTCTGATATGCATCCTTATGTTTGTAAGAAATTTTAAAATCCATTTATTTAATTAATTAAAAATTAAATTATTTTTTAAATGAAATCCGTAAGTAATATGACATTTATTGTGCATCTTCGTTTAACATCAAAAAAAAAATTAACAACAAAATTCAACTAATTTAAGAAAGTGACTGATCAGTCTTTCGAATTTTCAATAATTCACAATAATTTTTTTAATATTATGTATTTATTTATCCAGATACATATTAAATTTTGTTTGCAATATGTAATATTCACGCATTAAATTTTATTTGAATTCAGAAACTCGCATTGTGACGTGATTATATTCAACCGGTTTTTCTTAAGCAAATCAATAATATAGGTGGAATAATTTGGTGGTTACAAATACCGTATTGGAAAAAGAAAATAGATTACACCAAAATTAAGTTTTGTATTTATGTATTGTTATAATCTATTGTCCGCTTTTTTTAAATTATAAACATTATTTTTTGTTCAATTTTGATTCTAATTTTAATTATTTATATGATAAAACATGTAATATACATTTATATTTTGTTTAATAAATATTTATAAAATTGAGGAGCTAGACAGAAGGATGTGTTTATTTTCTTCTTTAAAGAATTTTGTATCTTTTTATTTGTACAACATCCATCATTTTATTTTACATGATTGACAAACAATGAAATTGTAAATATATAGAAATATCAATCCTAAATATTTTATTTTTCCTCGAACAACCGTCCAACCTTTTTAAAGATAAATAAAATTTATGTTACAAAATTAAAGTTGTAAAACACTAAGTAACTATTCAATTACATTAGCAATAGATTATTATATTAAAATTTCAAATAAATAAAATACAAATATATAACAACACTACAACATACTTAAAAGAAAAAATTCAGAACTTTTCAATACAAAACATGGTTACAAACCACCAGTAATCTATTTATATAATTTAACATTACCAGCCACATGTTTGCATGTTTGCTAATCTGATCAGCTGTGTCTTGATGGAAGAAGTGTCTTGACCCTTCAATTACATCTACTTCCTCAAGAAGTAGTAATCTCAGTTCTACATCATCAAGCTCCTATAATATTGCAATTAATAGAAGCAACCACAAACAACAACTTTTTATAACGCATATTATAGGACATACCTGAAATATGTTGACATAGTAGTCATTAGCATACACAATTCTAAGGGTATCAAGATCAATTTCTTTAGAAGTTATTATAAACATATAAATAAGAAGCTTATCCAAATTCCTACATGGTGAGCAAGAAGATGATCATTAACTTCATGTACAACCAGAGTATATGAGACATAAGATTGAAGTAATTAAATACTCCATGAATTTGTTTAAGAAAAAAGTAGTAATTAGTAATAGAAAAGCATAGAGTAAAATAGTAATGACTTTTTAAAAACTATTTGGCATATGTTTGCCATGAAGAAGAATATCACTTATTCTACTAAAACTCATAATAGGCATGGTCATATTAAACTTGGCTATATAATCCACACGCGTTGATTCAGGATTAGGACCATATCTTAATGCACATCATATATTGAGTTCCTCTGTACATAAGCAAGTAAAGTAGACATGCATAAAGATGGTGGTAATGAAATGTATATAAATCATCCTCAGATAGCCTTTTTCTAATCTCTTTTATACTTTACTTAAATTTCTAGAATATTGAAGCACATTGAAACTAAAAATAAAAATTAAGTAAACATAGAGGAAGAAACAATTACCATATTGTGAGGAGATGTTTTCCTTCATTTTTCTTCACCAAAAGATTCATACACTTCGAAACATGCAGTTCATTATTCATTAAAAATATATAAATGGATTTAACTCATGGGTATTAAATTTTAAAAATTAAAATAAAAAATATACAGTAAACCACTAATTATATTTCAATAGACATTGCATTAAAAAAATATATATATGAATAAACCTCTAAAACAGAAAAAATTATTATTCATAAATTTAGTGATTCAATTGTGTCAACCACATATGTATAATATAAAATTCACTATGATTTTTGATAATGGCTATTCATTCAAGTGCATGCTATGTGGTGTTACTGTATTATAAACACACTCATTTGAATCTCTTCATCAATTGAGAACGGAAAAGAAACCATAGATAACAGACACTAACAAGCAACACACGTCCACTTTCTCTCCTTATTTCTATGAAATGATTCCAAGAATTGTGTGACACCAACAAAAACAAAACAAAGAAAGAATAAAAATTAATTAGAGAATAAAATTTCAAGTTTTAATTAGAAAAATAATAAAAATATATTATCATTAGAATTAAGAATCACTTAAATTTAAAAGAGATCAAAAGGTAAATGAAAACTTCCAAAATATCAATTTTCTTGAAATAATAGATAATATATTCACCAAAGTATCTAAATGAACAATTTCTCTTAATTGTTTAATCAATTTGGTAACTTCTCTTCTTTGCTATGTTAAAGAAAGGTCTACAAATTGTAGAAATTAGTTTTTCTTTTCAAATAACTAATTACTTTGTATAATATTCAAATATAAAATGGAGAGAGTAGTTAATTTTTATTTGTGTAACTTCTAAGTAGTTTTAAAGGATAAAAGAGGAAAGAAAATAGGTTACACCAAAACAATATATTACCTTTATATATTGTTATAGATTATAGATTATAGATAAAAGAATGTATTACCTTTATATATTGTTATAGAGTATAGACAAAAGAGTAGTCTCTCTCTTTTCTTCTCACACTTCTTTTTTTCATTTATTTTTCTTTTCACCACATCTTCAACTCTCTCATCTCTCAATATATTTGTTTTCTAGATATGTCAATGAAGAAGAACAATAACATATATATTTGTTTTCTAGATATGTCAATGAAGAAGAACAATAACATGGGTGAAAGTAGTTGTGCTTATAATGGTTTTTTTTACATCCCAGTATTATTATTTTCAGGTATACCTTTATTTTTTTTATATTTTTTTATATTTTTTTTGTGATTAATAACTTTTTTTAAAGAAAATTTAAATAAAATATGTTCTATTTTTTTATTATCTCTTCTTAAAAAAAACTTTAAGTGAATGTAGATGTGGTATAATAGGTTTTTAAGATAAAAAATTGTTTCTCACTGTTTTATAGAATGGAAAAGAAGGAAAATATTTTTTTTACATCTACAATAATTTGATTTTGAAAAACTTCAAACAGATCTACTTATCTAAAATCTTATACAAAATGCATAAGAGAAATTTAAAAATATAACAAAAATGAAAACGTGAATAGATCTAACTTAACTTGAATATCCTAACCCAACTTTTATCTTCTAATAACTATTATTTTGTTAGAAAATTAAAAAATATAGCAAAAATGAAAACATAAACAGATGGAACTCAACATGATAGTTGATCTTAAAGTTCTGAGTTGAAATTGTTTGAACTAGAAAACCTGAACCGAAGTCGTTGTAACAAAAAAATATGAAGTTGATTCATCTAAACTTTCATTTTCTTACTCACTTATATAATTAGAGTTATTATGAATTGAGCCGAACTTTTTGAAGTGATATTTCTTTTAATATTTAAAAATATACTACAATTACAAATTTTATAATATGTATTAAAATATTATTAATGATATTAAATTTTAAATTTAATGCAAGTTAATATAGTATATTGTTTATATAGGCTTGTATCTGCATAACATGTAAGTTGAAAGTTGTTGTTTGTTAGTATGTTATAAATAAATAAAATTAATGATCATTAATTTGTGTAGCAAATTAGGATATATGAAATTTATTTATTATTATTAATTTTTTCACCGTCAACTTTTTTTTTTAAACTCTTTATTTTTTTTTAGACTATTTTGTTATATGGTTTCATTTATTATTATTAATTTTTGCAAGAAACAAAGCAATTGAACAGATATACGGTAACTAGGAAAATCCATACAAAGAACTTCCACATTACTTGTTAGCACTTAAAAAAAATGTTCTGGGTACAATGGTGGAAATGGAAACATTGTCCATGTATATAGATGAATTCACTATTATTGAAGAAAAACCTATCTTTCACCAGCTATTCTAGGTATTCCAACCATGCATTAGAGGTTTCATATATTGCAAGTCTATACTTCAAATTTATGGAACATGGTGATATGATAAGTACAAAGGGATAATGCTTATGGCGGTGGCATATGATGGCAACAATAATATATTCTCAGTTGCTTTTGCACTTGTGGAAGGTGAGACGACAAAAGGTTGGGGGTTCTTTCCACAGAACTCGAGAAGGTATGTTACTCTTCAACCTGACCTATGTTTGATTTCAGACATGCATGCATTGATTAAAAGTGCATACAATAATATAGATAATGGTTGGCATAATCCCCCATCTGTGCATGTCTATTGTATCAGACACATTGTCCAAATTTAATGAGAGAAATAAAGAACAGGAACCTCCGAAAAAAAAGTTATTAACATGGGTAAGTATATTTGTTAACATTATATCTTTGTCAATTATATATTTCAACATTAGCCCATTTTTTTTAAACATATAGGTTATGCTTTAAACCAACCAACATTTCACTATTACCGAAATGAAATTGGCATGGGTAATGGTGATGCTTTAGGGTGGGTCGACAATATTCCAGTAGAAGAATGGACAAGGGCATTTAATGAGGATCGGCGTTAGGGTCACATGATAACCAACCTTGTTGAGTCAATGAATTCAGTCTTTAAAGACACCCGTTATTTTTCCATTACAACATACTATATACTAGGATCATTATTTTCTGAAAGGGGTGCAAAGTGGAATGCAGTGTTGAATTCAGAACAAACATTTACAGACAATTGCGTTAAGATGATGTAAGAAGAAACAAAAAAATCCAACACACATCAAGTGAGAATTTTTTACTACACTAACAATATTTTCAGTGTGAAGGAGACAATGGACCACGATGAGCGGAAGCCTATGGGACATTACAAGGTCAACCTAATAAATGGTTGGTATGACTGCGGAAAGTTTCAGACATATCGTGTCCCTTGTTCACATGTTATCGTTGCATGGTCTAATGCGTGCCACAAAACTTATGCCCTTTTCTCCAACGTTTACAAGGTTGCAAACCTGTTTGGGGTTTACAACACAAGCTTTTCAGTGTTGTCATACAGTGAATATTGGCCCGTTTATGAAGGAGATCAAATTTTCCATAATCCAAGAATGCGGAGGAACAAGAAAGGTTGTCCAATGAGCACACGTATTAGAACGAAAATGGACATCGTTAATAAGATGGAGAGAAAATATTTCATGTGTCTTCTTCCTAATCACACCCAAACTCAATGTCCCAATGTTAGAACTAGTAATAGTTAGTTTTTTATTTCATTATAATGTATCATTTTCAAATTGTCATCAAGCTTCTCAATTATTTGAACCATTAATCATTAAGTACCAAATATAAATAACAAGAAACCATATATTAAAAAACGAACAACAACAGCTTAAATAAACAACACATACAACAAATATCAAAACAGATAAAAATACTTAACCACAATATTTCTAAGTGATTACAACAATCAAAGTGATATCATTTGGTCCAAATATCACTTCATCGCACTTAACTCGCACCCACCTAGACAGGGCATCTTGTCTTTCAATACTTTTAATTGTTTTCTCCTTCAGGTATGTCTTCGTCTAACCAATTAATCAACTCCCTTTGTAGTTGCTCGAAACTTTAAACGTTCTAGAAAAGCATCTTCATCAGAGGCTTGTCTCTCGAATAAATCACTTTCCTATAGCGGCGACGATACATGTTAGCATTATTACAAGAAAATGAGATTAGATGTGAAAAAATAGCTCACAACACACCTCTATTTATATCACATGCACACTATACTTAAATAATAAAATATTCAAAGAATTCGCTCATTAAAGTGACAACACTGTATTTAAATAATAAAATATTTAAAAGATACGCCTATTGTAGTGACAGAACTATACTTAAAAAATAAAATATTCAAAGGATTCATCTATTGCAGTGACGTAACTGTACTTAAATAACAAAATAATTAAAATATCCATCAATTGTGACTAAACTCTATTTAGATAATAAAAATCTTATATACATATAAAAAAATTTAAATTATTTTAAATTAATTTATAATAATTAAAATCAAATTAATATATATTTATTACTAATTAAAACATAAAATTATAATAATTTTAAAAAATTGATAATTGTTAATTATTTATTAGAAATATATTAATTATTAGTATTAATATATATTAATTATTAATTAGAAATATATTTATTGAAAATATATTAATCAATATTTATTAATATTAATATGTATTAATTATTAATAATAGTTATATCAATTGTAAAAAAATATTACGTTTTACACATGTGGTTGTGTTGTTTAAGAGGAACCGCCCTTAAAAAAATTACGTTTTTCTCTAGTTATATCTATTTTTTTTTTGCTTAACTCCAATTTTTTACAAGCCTGCCATAATTTATATTTTACAAAATTTAATGATTAAGTTTTGTTAGAGAGTAATTTAGTAATTTAGTATGTTGCTTATATGACCTTAATTTTTTGTGTATAAATAGGTTAGTGATAGATGTCATTTAATATAATTCTTCCTTACAACTTTGTAGCCTTCATTTGCAAAATATAATTCTCTCATTCTATTCATCTCTTTTAACTTTGTGCACCAACAATTGATATCTAGAGTTTCGATTCGGATCCACGGGGAAACACGAGTGAAACAATGAGACGTTATGTGGTTGATTTCATTTCTTGAATTCATGTTAAATCTTGAACGAAATCGTAATAGAATCACATTTTTTTGATTTTATGGGATTGGGAAACACTTTGTTTGGTGAGATATGAGTGATTGCACAAGGTTGAAGATGAACGGAAACGGTGGTCTGAGCACCAAGCTTCCAGTGTTTGATGGAAAAAATTGGACTCATTGGATGATTCAGATGTGTGTATTGTTCGGTGCTCAAGATGTGCTTGATCTTGTCACTAAAGGTTATGTTCCAGTAGCAGCAAATGCAACTGAGGAACAAAAGAATGCGCAGAAAGATACGAGGAAGAAAGATCAGAAAGCATTGTTCTATATCCATCGGTGTGTGGATGCAAATGTGTTTGAGAAAACTGTTGATTCAACGACGGCGAAGGCTGCGTGGGATACACTGGTCAGGTGCTATGATGGTGATGTATCAGTGAAGAAGATGAAGCTTCAGTTCCTAAGAAAGCAGTAAGAGAATCTCAACATGAAGAACAATGAGAAGATATCTGAGTACATCTCTAGAGTGATTCTGATTACTAATGAGATGAAAGCTTGTGGAGAAACCCTTTATGAATAAGTAATCATTGAGAAGGTATTGAGACCACTTACCCCTTAGTTTGATTACATTGTGGTAGCAATAGAACATTTTAAAGATCTGAGCACCATGAGAATTGAAGAGTTGTAAAGTGGTCTAGAGGCACAAGAGTTGCGTCTGACTGAGAGAACTTCTGAAAGGGAAGTAGAGTAGCAGGCTCTGAAAAACAGTTTCTGGTAAGAAGCATCAGAAACAGTCTTGGCCAGAAGCTAGGAGAAGATATGGTGGTGTTCAGAAGTCAGAAACCTCAACTTCTGATAGGGAGGAGAATGCTCAGAAGGGAAAAGAGAGGTATGACAAGAAGAAGGTCCAGTGCTACTGTTGTAAGAAGTTTGGCCATTTTGTTGTTGATTGCTAGTCAAACAAGGAAAGGAAGTCAAAAGAAGCAAGTATAGCCAGAAGTTCTGATGATGAATTTGTGCTACTGATTGCTTTTGAATCTGATGATACGGATTTGACAGACTAGTGGTATATGGACACTGACTGCTCAAATCATCTTACTAGAAATAAGAAACGACTGGTTGACTTTGACTCTGGTAAGAGGACAAAGATCAGATGTGATGATGATAAATACCTCAATGTTGAAGGTATGGGAAATGTCAGAGTCATTCTGAACAATGGGAAAACAACATTGATTCAGAAAGTGTGGTATGTACCTGGCTTGAAAAGCAATCTGATGAGTGTGGGACAACTAATTGAGAAAGATTTTTTAGTTACCATGAAGGAAAATCTTCTGAAGCTGTATGAGTGTAATCAGAAGCTGATTATAGATTCAGAACAGGGAAGGAATAGAACATTCAAGGTGAATGTAAGAATTGCAGACTCTTAATGTCTTAGTGCCACAAGTATTGTGAAGGAAAGTGAGTTGTGGCCCAGAAGATTTGACCATCTGAAATTCAGAAGCTTAGGGCATCTGAATTCAAAGAAGCTGGTACATGGAATTCCTACAATTAAGAAGCCTGAGAAGTCATGCAAAGTGTGCGTGGAAGGAAAGCAACCAAGATTTTTATTTGCACCAGAAATAGCTCCAAGAGCAAAGCATGCCTTGGGAGTAGTGCATTCATATGTGTGTGGTCCATTTCTAATAGAATCGATTGGAAGAAATAAATACTACATGTCATTTGTTGATGAATTCACAAGAATGACATGGGTATCCCTTATAAAGTTCAAATACGAGGTGTTTGATGAATTCAAGAAGTTCACAATGAAGGTTAAGAATCATAATGGTCAGACTCTAAAGATTTTCAGAACCAATGGTAGAGGTGAGTATAACTCCACTGAGCTTAGAAAGTTCTGTGAGGAGAATGGAATTGAGCATGAGGTTACTTCTCCTTATACTCCTCAACACAATGGTCTTGCTGAGAGAGAAAATCGTACTTTGCTTGATATGGCGAGAAGCATGCTGAAGGAGAAGAAGCTTCCTCACACCTTATGGAGAGAAGCTATTGCCACCGCAACACATGTGCTCAACAGATGTCCAACGAAGAAGCTGAAGGAAATAGTTCCTATTCAGAAGTGGGCTGAAGATAAGCAAAGTGTTAACCATCTTAAGGTATTTGGTTATGTATGCTACAAACATGTTCCAGAAGTCAGAAGACAGAAGCTGGATGATAGAAGCAAAGTAATGTTACTAGTGGGATACCACAATACAGGTGCGTACAAGCTCTATTATCCAAAAACTAATAAAGTTGAATTCAACAGAGACGTCATTAAAAAGGAATCAAAAACTTGGGATTTGAACAAGTCTCAATCGAACTTTGATGTGAGAACTTTTGAAGAAAGTTCAAAGTTAGAAGCTTCTAAAGAAGAGTCGGAAACTGGAGAAGATTCTGAAGCTGGAATAGACTCTGATGGTGACTCTGACTCTAAAGGAGACTCAGAAGGTGAAGATGATTATAATCCATATTCTGATGGTGATTTAGATTCTGGTGTTGATTCAGATTTTGGGAATATTTCATACTTTGAAGGTGGTCAAGGTTCTGTAGGAGGTCAAACTTTTGAAGCAGGAGCTTCTGAAGGAGAAGCTTTTGAAGATAGAACATCTGGAGTTCAAGCATTCGAAGGAGATTCTGGACCAGGTCATAGGCCTGGCCGGTTAATTAGCAAGTGTACTAATTTTTACCAATGTAGTAATAAGTGGGGTTATCCCCAGAATCGATCTCTCGAGGGCTGCGTGCAATTGTAAGTACATGTGTTGTTTCAATTAAACAAAATATTCTTGGGGGTTTTGTTTGGTAATTTTTAAATAATTTAGTGACAAATGCAATAAGCAGAATAATAAAATTAATTTAACAATTATGAGAAAATATGCTAGGAGAAGTGTATGAATTGTTTAGTACGAACCCTGAATTACTATCAACGAGACATGCCTCAAAACCTTAATTTTTATTGTACCTCCGTAGTTTTTTTTTTAAATTCCTTAACCGAAAAACCTTTGAGATTCTTCCTTGATCCTAATTTCTTAGCAATCAAGGAAGGACATCAAGCAATAGTTCTGACAAGGTTTTCTTTCAATCATTACAGGATATCCCTATTCCTAGGCAATATTTTCCGTAATGTATTATACAAAATAATCGATTGATTTTTCAGGCCAAATCCCTAATCGTAAATCGTTCCCAATTTGTACGAATCGAAAACGTTTTAAACAATTTGCATAACAAAAGATTAAGGTAAGAAGACAAAATCTCATTGAACAATTCAAAAGATGTTCATTACATAACAATTCAGGGACACCCCCTAGCATTGGGGGGTTTAGCTATGCATAATATTCAATGAAAACAACATACAAAATAGAGACATTACAAGACTTTGTGATAAAATTTGATCTTCAATTTCTTCCGGTCATGAAAATCTCCTCTTCTTACCAATTCTCCAGAGCTCTCCTCTTTCTGCTGTAATTCTTTCATACCATCAAAAGTCCTTTTTTTTCTTCCAAAAATTTGGTCTTAATAGTATCAGATCATTCCTTTTCGTGCACAATGTCCAAACTACCCTTAATGAACTAACACAGGCAAGACTTTAAAAAAATCAGAAATATGCTCGCTCTTCCCAACACGGGACGTGTCAGGTGACACGGGCACCCGTGTTGGCTCACTGGTCTTGAATATCAAAGTTGGCATCTACAAGCATGCTGACATGGGTCGTGTTAGCCCACTGGTTGCCCCCTTTAGCTTCTCTCCTCTTCCCATCCTGACACGGGCCGTGTCAGACCTCTGACCTTGATAAAAATCTTTCTGAACAGAGCCGACTTCGCACTCATTCCTCTAATCATTCACATGAACCTGAAATCACCAAAACTACCAGACCAAGAATTCAAAAGTATTTTATTTATCATAAATTTAAACTAAAACAATGTAAGCAAATGGAATGCGAAAAATTAATTATTTAAAGGAAAACGAAAAAGAAACAACCCAAAGTGTTACCGATTAAACGAAATTCTTGACGGAAACTAAGTAGAATAGGTGACCGATCAAGGCCACAGAGAATTAGAAACATTCCAATAAGATTTGTAGAGTTTGATATGCTACAAGACACTGAAGTAGATTCTAAAAGAGAAGTTATTCAATGTCCCATGTTAGTAGACTCTGAACCCGTAAGCATGGAAGAGGCTCTTGAGCAGAAAGTCTGACTGAAGGCCATGAAAGAAGAACTTGATGCTATAGAGAGGAACAAGACTTGGAAGCTGACATAACTTTTAAAGGACAAGAAAGCCACCAGCGTTAGATGGGTTTTCAAGCAGAAGCTAAAGCCAGATGGATCAATTGGCAAACACAAAGTGAGGTTAGTAGCAAGAGGATTTCTGCAGAAATCTGGGCTAGATTATTCTGAAGTGTTTGCACCTGTAGCGAGACATGAAACAATCAAACTGGTGATTGCAATAGTTGCTAACAGGAATTGGCATCTGATACATTTAGATATGAAATCTGCATTTCTGAATGGTCCATTACAAGAACTGATATACATGTCACAACCTCCTGAATTTGTTAAAAAGAATCAGGAAGGGATGGTGTACAGATTACATAAAGCTTTGTATGGATTGAAGTAAGTGCTCAGATCCTGAAATCTGAAGATTGATTCATTTTTCAAGGAGTATGGGTTTTAGAAATGTGAGATGGAGTACGATGTTTATCTTCTGCATACTTCTGAAGGCAATATGATTATGGTGTGTTTGTATGTTGATGACATACTGCTGACAGGGAGTTCTGAACAAGAGATAGTTGATTTCAAGAAGGTGTTGATGAATGAGTTTGAAACGACTGATCTCAGGAAAATGACATATTTTCTAGGGATTTATATACTCTGAGAAGGGTATCATTTTGCATCAGCTGAAGTATGAACTTGAGCTTCTGAAGAGATTTAAGCTGCAGAATTGTAAGGCTACTATCACACCTGCAGATATAAATCAGAAACTAGATTCTGACTCTGATGGTGAGGATGTGGATGCTACAACCTTCAAACAGTTGGTTGGTTCTCTGAGGTATCTGTGTAATACCATACATGATATCTACTATGTAGTTGGAATGGTTAGTAGGTTCATGAGTAAACCTAAGTGGTCCTATTACCAAGCTGCTGTCAGAATTCTGAGGTATATCAAGAGAACTCTGAAGTATGAAGTGTTATTCCCTTATGGAAGAAAGATTGAATTAGAACTTCCGAGTTATTCAGATTTTGATTGTGTGGAGACAAAGTTGACAAAAAAAGTAGTTATGGGTACTTGTTTAAGTTTTTGGGAGGTCTTATTTCTTGGTGTTTCAAGAAACAACTTGTTGTTGTGTTGTCAACTTGTGAAGCTGAATATATCGCAGACGTTGTGACTGCATGTCAAGCTGTGTGGATTCTGAACTTACTGCAGGATCTAAAGATCAAAGTTAACAAGCCTCTAAAGCTGATGATTGATAACAAGTTTGCAATCAATCTTGCAAGAAACCCAGTGATGCATGGGTGAAGCAAAAATATTGAGACTAAGTATCACTTTCTGAGAAATCAGGTTCAGAATGGAGTGCTAGTTGTGCACTGTAGCACCTAGAAGCAGTTGGCAGATGTTTTAACGAAAGTTATCAAAACCGATCAATTTCTTTGCTTAAGGGATGAAATTGGTGTTGTTAGTTTTGGATAAATATAAATTAAGGGATGGTATTAAAAATAATTTATATTTTATAAAACTTAGTGACTAAATTTTGTTATAGAGTAATTTAGTACTTTAGTATGTTGCCTATGTGACTCTAGTTTTTTTTGTGTATAAATAAACTAGTAGTAAATGTCATTTAATGTAATTTTTTCTTACAACTTTGTAGCTGTCATTTATAGAATATAATTCTCTCATTCTATTCATCAATTTTAACTTTGTGCAATAACATTGTTTGACTCTATTAAGATTATAGCTATCACTAACCGGAATAGCAAAATAAAATAAAACAAAAACTAAAAAAAAGACTTTCATTATTGAGTGATCTGAGGTAGAGCAATATGAAGGAGGAAAAACAAAAAGCAATGAAAATGTTCTCTAAAACATGCCTTTTGATGTGTCATAAAAAAACAGATAAAGCCTTTTGATGTGTCATAAGAAAACAGAAGAAGCCTTTTGAGTCCCCACCACAACATTGATCTAGTGAACGTCTTTCATTGTTATTATTCATCTATCAAATTTTTGTTTCCAAGAGCAGGTAACAGCCTGGTTGGATTGTTTTTTTCTTTTTATTGAGAGACCACCTCAATGTTGTTTCTATGACAAGTCATAGAGAAATCCAAATTTAGGAATTTACAGTCTATGTGAAAAGGGTAAACATAATAAGTTAGATATCAGCAGTACTAGATCTAGTAAACTTATTGCAGCAAATTTGTGAACGAATTTGTTTTAGACATACATATCACATATCAGATTAGAAAATTGGTGCAACATTTGGTGAGAGCTTCAGGCATAAAATTCACTAAAATAAAACTAAAAAACTTGTAATTCAAAAAGCATCCAACTTTTTAAACTGCGGATTGTTTGCATACCATAATCATTTTTAATAAGTTTCAAACATAACATATGAATTCTGAAGACGAGTGCAACATAGTGAAGAATTTGTTTTTGAAATATCTAATTAAATAGAGAAAGGAGTTGCCCCCATAGAATAACAATATGACACCCTCATACAACAACAAGTAGCATCAATTATCAAGAACAAAGTGCTTTACATCATCACCACCACCACAAACAAACATTATAAACAAAACATAATCGCTTCAATAGAAGCAATTATGATATGAAATGAACCATCCAAAATTTTGAAGACTAAAACATCATCAGTAATCATCACTATGACTATTATCATAGAAATGAAACATCATCGGTAATCATCACTATGACTATTATCATAGAAATGAAACATCATCGGTAATCATCACTATGACTATTATCATAGAAATGAAACATACCTACACACACCCACCTCCTACCAGCAAAGTAGCTACACTGAAATTGAATCAAATCAGTTTGAAGGTACGCCACTAAGAAGTCTAGCACCGAGGCGATCAAGCTGCTTAACATTAGCAGAAGCTTTCAAGTTGCCATTCTTTTGAAAAGCCCTAACCATCTGTTCGCCAATGAGGTATCCCTTTTCCTCATCATCCGTGACAGCAACAGCAGTAGGTCCAGAACCACTGATAGTGCATCCATACGCTCCAGCTTTAATAGCAGCCTTCTTAACAGCACCCATTCCAGGAATAAAAGGTGCGCGCTTCGGTTCAACAATCTTATCCGAGGATAAGGCCTTCCCCAACATGAACAGATCACCCTGTAACACTCCAGCCACCAGAGCACCTGCCTGGCTACAATTCCACACGTGATGCGCCATCTCTATCTCTAAAGGCAGTGCAGCTCTCATCAGTTTTGTAGGGGCTTCGAATTCAGGTGTCACCAATACAAAATAAAGCTCCTTTTCGGACGGAAACTTCAACCTCACTAACTCCAGCGGTTCATAATTCCTGATGAGAACAAATCCCCCCATGATCGAGGGGGCGACATTATCAGCATGATAACCAGATACCTTTTCCTCGGATTTCAAGCATGCGAGAACAAGCTCATCCACGCTCAATGTATTCCCAAATATCTCGTTAACCGCAACGGCAGCTGCAGCTGCGCTGGCCGCACTGGACCCCAACCCACTTCCTAAAGGCAAACCCTTCTCCAGCGAGATGCTAAGACCTACCGATCGAATGCCAAGCATTTTCATAGCCTCGATTGCAGCAATGCCGGCACAGTTGCAAAGAGGGTTTTTGCTGAGTTTATCGACGCAAGGGCTTTGTCCTGAAATATCCGAGATACATATCTCGCCGGGGCGAACATCACGGTCGACCTTCGCCGAGACCGTGTCGCCGAGGCCATGAACAGCACAGCCTAGGAAGTCGAAGCCGGAACCTAAGTTGGCGACGGTGGCGGGAGCAAAGGCTTTGACGGAGGAGTAGAGTGCAAGCGGCTCTGATTGAGTTTTGGTAAAAGAGAGTGCGAGAGGGTTGTGAGCGTTGCATCTGATTGTGAAAAATGGTTTGGAAGAGAAGGAAGGTGGAGTGACGGTGAACCATGCAGTGGCAGCCATTTCAGCGAACACGTATTTGTTCTGATCATCCTTCTTCCTTGTCTTGTAATTTATACAGTGAAATACACCTCTCCAAAATTAGACATTATTTTCTTCACGTAATCCAATGCGTTGGTGGGTTTTTTTTTCTCTAGTCGGATCGATCCGTTATTTTTGGATAAATTTAAACTGTCACCGCCACCTATATCTCACATCTCAATTCTAAAATTGTCTCAAATTTATTATTTTTAAATTTTTTATATTTGCAAATATTTTGTCTTAACTACCTAACACGGGTCATCGTTCTCTCTCTATCTAACCATCCTGTCGTCTTTTTCTCTAATTATCGTTAAAAAATTAAATGAATTGAGAAAATATCTATTAACTACCAAAAAAAATTGAAATTTTCCAATATTCTACGTTTGTTTTCGGCAATTTCAACCTTTTCAACACTTTTTTAAAAAATTAAACTACCAGCATTTTCAAACTTTTTTTACATGTGTACGAATTTTTTATCATGAGACGATAAAATTCATTAGTTTAGTAATATATATATATATATATATATATATATATATATATATATATATATATATATATATATATATATATATATATATATATATATATATATATATATATATATATGTGCAATTTTTAAATTCATAAAATAAATACATGAAATTTATCCGAATTTTGAGAATTTTTTATTCTATTATATGAATTTTTTTTATTATGTGGTTTTTCACAAATGTCTTTAAATTTTAGACATATATCTCTGAACCGTATTCTATAGTTTAATAATATTTTGAAGATATATCTCTAGAGCAATGTAAACCTTAAACGATAACAACATATCTCCAATAGTCTATTTTCATTTGAATTTGTCCGGAGATGCATTTACGGGAAAAAAAAATTGGAGATACATCTTCAAAGTGTTTCAGAACAGTTTTTTTATAAAAATGCATTGTGTATTTGTTCGTAGATGAATTATAAAATAACAGACACAACAAAATAACATAACAATATAGTAATAGGATGTCAAACATAACGTAAATCCAAAATGTAATAACAATGTCAAGAAAAACGTACAAACTACGGTACTGAAACAAAATAAATACAGGCAACTATTGAGTGTGTCTCACAACTTCTCATATGTCTCATGTGTCTCCTCTGCCTGATCTGTCTTCTCGGTCATTGATCCCCCTGTCCTGGCGCGATGTCTGTGGTACAAAAGTGCCTCATGTGCCTCCGCAATAATGTCATCCAGTACTCGTTTGACAGCAAACCCCTCAGGGAATATACCTCCGGCAATGCCTGCCCACGTCATCTCCACCATGTGATGACAACGAGGCAAGAGATCCTCCATATGATCGATCTGAGACTGTTGCTCCTCTAGAATCTTATGATGAGCGGGTCTCGGCGGATCTCCTGGAGCAGTCGACACCATGTACGAATGTGAAACCCTGAAGAACCACCTGATGTATTCGTCGATGTAACTCCAATCATTCGGTGTTATGGTAGCCCGAGCCTTATCCGGTACCAGATGACTCTGATAATCAGTAAACATCTCTTCTATACGAGTCAATGTCAGAGGTGCAGAGACAGCAGGGTGCTTGGGGATGGTCGGGGTGTACCCGAACTGTCATATGATGCGCTCGAGCAAATGAGGAGCAGTGACTGTTGACGAGTCGGTCAGTCATCCGGAGTATAGCGATATGTCGTCAAATGGTCGCGTCTAACGGTGATCCACGTAGCAGTTGAAGTGGATGTCCTCAGCAACCAAGCGGTTAGATAGACTCTAAAAGGCTCAACCTCTTGGTTCCCTCTCAGCGGGATAAAAGCACAGGCACGTGGCATCTCCTCAGTATACTCATCCTAAAATAACCAGTCAACAATGCGCGGAAAGTGCTAGAGGATCCAAGTCTGAAATGAAAATAAAGAAGCATTCAGGGATCAAGAATTATCGCAAATATAAAATGAAAAAGAAAAAAACAATTAATGATAGAAAATTATCACCACTAGTATGGTCGTGTTGCTTGTGGTCTGCCTCGTCGTCCATCGACATCCATCTTTCAGCTTTGAATACAGATAGGCCAAGCAAGTCGTCCCCCAAATGTACTCATGGATCTATATGAGATCCGAGAAGTACCGGAGGTATGCAACGTCATTATAGGTGGCACTCGTGTCCACAAAAAGCATATTGCCAACTAAAAATAAAAAATAACACCTCCAAGCATGACTCTTTTGGATATCCACCTTCTGGGCATCACCATCAGCCTACGCTGCAGCAACGAGCGCCTCATCAAGTCTCTCCTTCAAGAACGAAATCCTAACATAAGCACCCCTAGTCATATCCACCTCCTTCGGCTCCCATTAGATCAGCCCCAATATATTCCACCATCATTTTGACTGCCTCGTCTTTGGTCATCCTACTATGATGGAGAAATGTCCCTCTGATCGGTAGATGCAACAAAAATAAGACATCGTCTAATGTAATCGATATCTCACCGTGCGGGAGATGAAAGGAAGAGGTATTAGAGTGCCATCGCTCCATGAATGCTCCCATCATACCGTGATTGGCCAAAGTGTAATTAGTCAAGCATAGGTCACTCAACCCAGAAGCGGTGAGAATTGACTGAAACCACTTCGTATCAGGCTGATGCAATCTTAAAATCTTCCGCCCATGGTTCAGAAACTTCTGGGTATCACACAACTGCGAATTTCCAGAAATAACCAATGTCAACAATTGAAATTAATGTAAAAAAAAATATAGTAACAATGTGACTAATGTTACCTCTCCGTCCCAGATATGTCTGGCACTGTGGTCTGGGTACAAAAGAAGTAGGGACATATAAGATGCACCCCCTCTAAAAGCATCTGGCTCGACATCAACAACATAACCCTACGGAGGTGGCACCGATACATCACGATCAGCAAGTGTGATCGGGTCAACAGGAGGTGGCACCAGATCAACAGAAGGTGGAACAGGTGCATCCCGACGCCTACGGGATAATGGAGGAAGTGACACATCAACTGATGCAACTTGTGGTCTACGGGAAGAAGATGATGAAGGTGGAGTGGGTTGAGACGTAGATGGAATGACCTGAGATGTAGCTAGAGTGGCCTAAGACATAGATAGAGTGGCCTGAGGTGAAGGTTGAACCACAGAAGTGGACCGAGTCTTAGGAGTTGATTGTACACCAACAATCGATGCCTCTCCTTGACTAGAGGTACTTACTGCATCCGGATCCGGCTGACTTCGCTTTCATCTAACATATGCATGTTGGGCAACCCGTCTATGCCTCACCCGATCGGCTCTGTCAGCCATTATACCTGCAAGATATAATATAATTAATCGTACAATGAGTTTACAAATTAAGAAAAATTATAAAACAAAAAGAAAAAAATAGACTGAGAAAATTCTGGAGATACATCTCCGAAATAATTCATTGTTTCATGTACTCTAGGTGATTCCAGATATACAACTATGGAAACATTTTCCAAATGTATCTGCGAATCACCCATAGTACATGAGACGTTAAGTGTTTTCGGAGATGTATCTCCGGAACATTCTGTAACTCTGAGGTTGCGCCAATGGTGTCCTCTGCCCCTCAGAATCACAAATTTGAGGTCCTGATCGTCCATTTGAGCCAACAAACAATACATGTAGTTACTCTAAACTATGTTTCATTTAATTTTTAAACATTTCGACACCTAATAATGGACTCTAACTCGTTTACAACAATACTCGAACATTTACCCAAAACTCAAAATACTTACCGGATTATATGATTCGGAAGATATTGAATGATACACTGGATGCGACTTGATGATTACTTGATCCTCGGACGGAAGAAATCAAATTTGGTGAAGTTTGGGAATAAGAGAGATGAAGACGTTTGTGAATAGAGAATGAAAAAGTGTGGGAGGAGAAGAGTTTGGTGCGACAATATGCTCCAAATTGTTCTGGAAACCAAAAGTCGCGCGTCGAAGAAGCTCAAACATACTGTCATGTGATGTTAAACAGGTCCAAAACAATCCACAAATATGCATAGTATTAATCCGTGAAGATTAAGAGGTGAAACAGGTTTAAAACGATCCACAAATATACAGTTCAAAATTGGCTAATCGATTAACAGCACAAAAATTAGCAAATTTACACTAGTTAATCGATTAACCAGATTTGAACTATAATTGATTAATCGATTAACCTTGTTCCAGTAGTAGAAATCAAGTTTTAAAAGCACTATTCAGCAGTAAAACACTTGTTCAAACATTCAAATGATCAACCAAACAATTATGCACAAAAATTACATTGAATTACAGCAAGTAAACACCAATTGCATCAATAAATCATGATCATCAATAATCAAATTCAAGAAAATGGATCAAAATGCAACCAAAACCAAGGATATACATTACATAAGTTGAAATTTAAGCTGAATCAAGTATAGATCTGAAATTTATCAACCTACAAAGTTGAGATTTGCTTTGGTAAGTGTTGCAAACAAAAATGGACAGATCTAACACAAGAAATCTAAGATCCTAGCAAGAAACCTCAAGATCCAAGTAATGTGATGAGCTTTCTTCAAAGCTCCTTCAAGAATGGCTTTCAAAAATTTGAATCTAGATTCAAACGTGCTTCAAATGTAGAATTGAATCAAGAATGATGAAGTGATGGAGGTTTAACTCAAGAATTCACAAGTTGTAATGCACAATTTATAAATCTATTGATATGGAGCTTTGGTGAAAGGTTGAAGATGAAGGTTGAGAATGAAAAAGTGAGAGAGAATTAAGAGCAAATTCTAAAATGGAGATGAAAAATGAGGGTGAATGAGTGAGGTTTGGAGTAAATTTGATTAAATAACCCCTAGGTTAGGAATTGAAATATGGTTTGGAATATGGATTAATGTGAGAAATGAAAATTAGGAATGGAGTGTTTGAATTTTGGAGGGAAATAGTAAAAATGAATCAATTCTAGATCCTTCCAATGATGCACATGTGAAATCAAGTGGTAG